GCCTCTGCCTCTTGAGTGCTGGGGTTAAAGGTGTATACCACCACAACTGGCATACCAGGCTCCCCGTTTTCTGAGATAGGGTTTCAAATTGCCAAGTACCTCAGGTTAACTTTGAACTCAATATGAGGGTAAGATAACCTTGAACTCCTGATCCTCCTGCCTCCACCTCCCCAGTCCTGGAATTATATACACTACCAATCAAGGCTTAAAAAAATTATTTGTACTATAAGAGGCTCAGTTTCATTTGTTTCTGTAAAACAGTCATACAAATTCCTTGTTGTTTTTATTTGCTTGTTTTGAGATAGGGTCTTGCTATATAGCCCTGATTAGCCTATATCTCATTGGGTAGATCAGGTTGGCCTTGAACTCTTGGAGGTGCTCTTGCTCCTATCTGGGGAATTCTGGCCTCACAAGTGTGTGCTACCATATCTGCTGCTGCTCTTGTCTTTTGAGACTTCTCTTCATGGCTCAAGAAGACTTCACTCTATGGTCTCTTTCTTAGTTTAATAAGAGATCATTGTCCCACCATCACACTAAGCTAGGAAACTACAGTACTAACACAATGCTATCCATCTCTTTCATCTATAATTTTGTAATTAAATTATACTTCAGGTAATTATACTTCTGGATTTTATCTTGCAGATATTCTCTTTCCCATGTTTCTTTAACTCCAATGTAGCTGGAGTTTACCTCCTAAAATATTCTAAGATTTGTGTCTTTAAACTGAACTAGCAAACCTAAGTCATCACCTCTTTATCTTTTAGTCCCAGGAGCAATACTTCTTCCATAAGAGTGAGGCGGATATCCTTAGAGTCTCCAGGGTCTTCATTATCTGGACTCCTTTCTTGATTAGTATCTTCCTCACTTTCTATTTTCTTTTCAGAGCTCTTATTTACTTCAGTTCGACGGGTCCTGTGAGTTAATGTTGTCATTCTCACCTGTTGGTAGAAAGATATGAAAAATATCTGTGTGCTTTAGTAAATAAACAAATATAGGTTCACAGAAGACCTACACACATAAACACACCATACACATGGGAAAATATGTTAAGTGCAAATACAGAAAGAGGTAGTAAACAGAAACAATGAACAATATGCTCTCTTTTTCAAAGCATAGCAGCTTAAATTCCAAAGAAAGCAATAAAAAGTGATGACCAGTAATTTAAAGGTCCATTAGAAAGACCATACTTTAGCATGCTTATTTCTTGGACATTGACTACAACCCAGGAGTGAATTTCTACCACCATAAAATGGGTCCCCAAGTTAAATTAGATGAATTAGCAAAACTTCATGAGCATGTGGCTTCTTCTTTTATTTATTTATTTATTTATTTTAGTTAGTTAGTTAGTTAGTTAGTTAGTTTTTTTGAGACAGAGTTTCTCTGTGTAGCCCTGGCTGTCCTGGAACTCACTCTGTAGACCTGGCTGGCCTCGAACTCAGAAATCCGCCTGCCTCTGCCTCCCAAGTGCTGGGATTAAAGGTGTGTGCCACCACTGCCCGGCTAGAGCATGTGGCTTCTTGAGTACACATAATTTTATAAATTTTGTAAAGCTAATGGCATATTATGAAACATAAAAATATACATAACAAAAATAAACACATCTTAATATTTTAAAATTACTGTGTACTCATGTACATAACATTTGTGGGTGCTTGTGCCATGTGCACATGAGGAGGTCAGAGAACAACTTTTTGTAGTTCACTTTCTCTTACCTTTCCACAAGTTCTGGGCATTAAAGTTAGGTTACTCAGCCTGTGTAGCAATTGACTTTACCCACCCACTGTACTGTCTCTCTGTGCCTATGTTTTAATATTTTTTCCTTTTAATTTATGTTGTACATATGAGTATTTTGCCTGCATCTATGTCTGTGTAGCCACATGGAATGCTTGGTGCCTGAGCAAGTGTTGAGTTTCCATGTGGGTGATGGGAATCAAATTTAGGTCCTTTGCATAAACGAGTGCTATTAACCATTGAGCCAACCCTCCAGACCAGTATTTTCTTTCTTATATTTTTTTTTACCATAACAACTCATTTCCAAGTGTAGCAACTTAGCATTCTATCTGGCTATCCTGTGAAAACACAAATAGCTTCAATAACAACAAAAGCCCAGCAAGAATGTTAAGAGATTATCAAATTCTCAAAAGAAAATGGGACTAGAATGTGGCTCAGTGTTACAGCATGGTGTTAGCATGTACAAGATCCTAAGTGCCATTCCCGGCAATGGGGAAAAAAATCAGAGCACACACCCTTTTATATGAAGCATTACACTTGTCTAAATCATCTGTGATAAAGCTTAAAGTTAGCACAGTTTATACAAATGTGAATGTATTTTGTTTTATTTTATTTTACACAGAGACAGGGTTGCTCTGTATAAAGTCCTAACTGTCCTGGAACCCATTATGTAGACTAGGCTGGCCTTGAACTTAGAGATCCACCTGTCTCTGCTTCTCAAGTGTGGGGTTTAAGGGTGTGTGCCACCACTGCCAGATGTAAATGTCAATTTTTACGTTAAAAAGCAAGTCAAAAATATCAGCAATTATATATCTTTGAGGTCAAAAGAATAATATTTAAAAGGTGCTATGGTTGTGTCGAGTTTAACAATTTTATCTTGTTTACTTTCTGCCTCTGATCCTTGTTATTTTGGGGTTTTCTTCCTTTTCCTTTCCTTCCTAAATGTTGTCCAGTTTTGAAGGCCTACTAAAGACTCACAAGTGAGGCCTTAAGGTGAATTTCTATCTCTACATTATGCATATATTAGATGCTTAGAACTGGATTTTCCCTCAGTTGTACTTTAACAGAAATTTATACTTACACCCTTTAAAATATTTATTTTAGTCCCTCTTTTGTTATGGCTGTATGTTACCTTAAACTTGGGCTGAAATATTGCCATCTTTAAGTTTTTATATTCTCCAAAGCAACTAGCACAATATCTTTAGCGTTTTAACTGCTCAAATAAATATATACTCATTAAACAGTATCAGAAATACACACCAAGAGTCTTACAAACAATTCTTCATACACGGATATATTTCAAATATAATTTTGGGCGGAAGTAAGAAGAGTGAAGGAACAGAACACAGAACAATGCCTTAGGGTGCCAATTCTATTTGGCATTATTTCCAAACCCAATCCAAGAAACTTTAACACCCCGGGGGAAATGAGGATAATTTTCTTTGCGGAATTAATCATTTCCCGGTAGACACTTATTAGTTAAAACATCCTATTTGAAAACACGATAACCAACAATAAATAAGTAAAAACCACCTTTTCTCTCTAAAGTAAATACTGAGCAGCTTTGTTGAACGTTAAGAAGTGTTATATTCTGCTCCTTACCTGACGTTGCTCTTGAGCTGCAGTGGGACGTAGGCTGCAGTTCGCGCTCTAGTTTTGGAGGACACCTGTTTCCCGTACCCTAGCCGGGTTCCGGTAGGTGTAAAACTTCTCAGCCACGCAGAGAGTACAAACTTCCTGATCCTTCGTTGCAGAGAGGGAATAACACATCAGCTTCCTCAGGATCACTAGGCAACCTACCTTGGTGTCTCTTCATTGGGCCAATCAGAAACTCCCAAGGTTAAGTCTAGCCAATCGGAGCTTATGAGAGGCGGTCCTCCCCGCTATTGTGTTGCGATCCAGACAAACATCACCAAAAGGAGGCAGGTTTGGGTTCAACCTGACAGCTGGTCTATCCAATGAAGGAACTTCGGTGACAGCGAGGAAAAGGCTGCATCCCACCCCGATGAAATCACCCAATCAAAGTATTCTGTGAGATAACAAGTGTCGCCAATCACGAAAGGATTCTGTTGGCCAATTTCTGTGTAGCAGGTGTGTTTCTGTAGCTGTCTGTATTGGCACTACTGGATAAGAAATGTTGGCGTTCAAGCAATAAGGCTAAGAGTAAACTCTAAGAGCTTAACTTTTCCTCTAGAGAAACCTGATCTGTCTCAGTTTATAAACATTATCCGGTTTACACTGAACAGCATGGGTACATTCCTACCATTACACACAGGACATCCCTATAGAGCACTTTGATAATACTGTGCTACTCTTCGTTTTGGAATATGGCTGCTAAAATTACAAGACAGAACCATATCAAAGTTTTAGATTTTCCTTTTCTGAAGCAAAGGAAGCAAATAGCTAAGCTGGGTCTCTCAGCTAAGCAATTGTTCATACTGCCACTCAAAAGTTCTAAAATATGTAAGAAAATACTTACCTAAATTCTCTCAAAATTAATAGCTTTAACTATTAATTATTTTAACTATCAACACTTTCTGCTAATTAAATAACAATTAGAAGCCCTGAAAGACCCTGCACACTGTGTATCTTAATAATGGTAGTAAAATGCCAATCTTTTTATTAGCCATTGCTTTCAATCATTTTTTTGCTCTAAATACACATTTAAAAATTGTATGGCATATGCATCATGTTAATAACACACTATATCAAAATAGCAAACATTATTTTAATAGCACCAATTAAATGGTACAGTTTTAACATAAGCAAAAAGTGAATCCTTACAAAATTTTAATGCCAGAATAAACATTTCAGAAATGGTTTTAGAGGGCCTTAAAACTTAACACATTCTTTTTTTTTTTTTCTTTTTTTGGTTTTTTGAGACAGGGTTTCTCTGTGTAGCCCTGGCTGTCCTGGAACTCACTCTGTAGACCAGGCTGGCTTCGAACTCAGAAATCCACCTGCCTCTGCCTCCCAAGTGCTGGGATTAAAGGAGTGTGCCACCACCACCCGGCAACTTAACACATTCTTAAAAAGCTTTCTTTAAAATGGAAGGCAGGTTGTATTCAGTGGATATGAGCAGAATCAATGACATTTGTATTTAGTCAAAAGTTCCCTTGGATTTATCTCAGGTAAACACAAGTTTCATTAGCTTAATAACTGTGAACTACAAAATAATTTTCAGAGGTACAGAAGGCACACCTTCAACTAATACAGCATGTTAGTTTAAACTACTTGAGAACTGCAAATCTGCATAAGAAAAATAATTTTTAGGTATGTTCCTTCGGTTCACTAACTCTCCTTCTCTTCAGCACTGATTCTTGACTAGAGTCCAAGACGTGAAGGACCTGTTAAAAGAAAACAACTACTTAGAGATTTTTATTTTTTTACAGTTTAAAATAAAAAAAATACTGTGTGTATATGTTTGTTTCTCTGTGTGTGGGTAGAATGCATGAGTACAGGTTCCCTTAGATGCCAGAATGTGGTGCTGGATCCTCTAAAGCTGGAATAGTAGGCAGTTGTGAGCTTTCAGATCAGTGTGCTGGGAGTGAAACTCTAGTCCTCTGTTAGACCAGTAGGTGTTCTTAATAACAATGAGCCATCTCTTCAGCCCCCAATTATGATTTCCTTAATATCCATTTGTGGTGTGTGTGTGTATGACAATACAAGTATGGACACACATATGCAGAATCAATGGATGAATGTATAAATAAAAAAGTGCAATAAATGTTTTGTTTGTTCATTTGTTTGTTTTTAAATGCCAGTTAGTGATATATCTCAGTCAGTAGAATGCTTGTCCAACATATAGGAAGCTCTGAGATCTATCCTCAAAGCTCTTCATAAACTGGGTGTGGTAGTGCATACCTATAATCCCACCATTCAGGAGGTAGAGGAAGGAAGATTGAGAGTTCAGAATCATATTGGGCTTGCTAGAGAGTTCAAAGACAACCTGAGCTACACAGACCTGTTTTTAAATCAAAAGAACAATAATTAACTACCTATAGAATTAAGATTCTTTTAAATATTTCATTGTTTCAAACAGTTTTAGTATTTCAATTATCAGCCAGGCAGTGGTGGAGCATGCCTTTAATCCCAGCACTTGGGAGGCAGAGGCAGGCGGATTTCTGAGTTCGAGGCCAGCCTGGTCTGCAGAGTGAGTTCTAGGACAGCCAGGGCGACACAGAGAAACCCTGTCTAGAAAAACCTTAAAAAAAAAAAGGGTTTCAATTATCTAAATTCTTTTTGTTTTTGGGAATCAAATCCAGGGCTACTACCAACATCCCAAGCCTTCAATTGTCTAACTAATAATATTCAAATCCTAGTAAAATATAAGTACTTTTAAAAAATGAAAAATATCTGATTCTGTAATGTAATTGTCAAATATAAAGCAATTATAGTGTCTAGGTAAGAAGTTTCCTTTCTCCTGAGATACTAGGAGAAAGTATAACTTGAGGAAACCTAGATATGGCAACTTTGTTGTTTCTCTTAGTTTTGGTCTCCAAAGAGTTTTTGTTCAATTATGTAGAATGTCCTGAATATTCTTAGGTCATTTTATCATTCTACTTATATTTTTCCTGATATAGATTTTCATTTTATAAATTTCACTAATAACTGAATTGCTCATGGAATAGGCAGTAGCTACTTACATTTAGAAAGTATATATTTTTTGAGACAGTGTCTCATACTATAGATCAAGCTAGATTGGAAATTACAATATAGGTCAGGATGAACGTGAACTCTTGGTAATTTTTCTGCTTTAGTCACTCAAGAACTAGGATTATAGGAAGGAGCTACACACCCAGAAGCCTCAGATATTTGAATATGTTTTGAGTATCAGAGCTTTGAGGTATGTTCAGGAATATCAAAGTTGTTATCTTAATATACAGTAATGACATTCAGATACTTGCCATTTTATTTAACCCATACAGTATCATTAGACTTACTGTTTTCCCAGATTGACGAAGACTTCTCTTCCGGTTTTCTTTAGAAGTTTGTGCTTGTTGATTTCCATTTGCCTTCACAAAGATAAAAAATTACTATTTCATTATTTTTCAAAGAACAGGCAACAGTTGATTTTTTAGCCTTATGCTACTATATGAAGTTAAAAAGTTATACTGACACATAATTCAGATGCTATATAATTTACCTATTTTATTTTATTTATTTATTTTTTTTGTTTTTCAAGACAGGGTTTCTCTGTGTAGCCTTGGCTGTTCTGGAACTCACTCTGTATGTAGACCAGGCTGGCCTCGAACTCAGAAATCAGCCTGCCTCTGCCTCCCAAGTGCTGGGATTAAAGGCGTGTGCCACCACCGCCCGGCTATAATTTACCTGTTGTAAATATATAGTTTAGTAATTTTAAGTGTATTCAGAGTTTTATAACTTACCACTATACTCAGTATTAGAATACTTTCATCACTCTGGAAGCCCTATAGAAGGCCTATCTTCTTCAACTATCGTTCTCCTATCCACCAATCTCCTGCCATTCCCAATATTTTCTGTTTCAATCACTTTCCAAAATCTGGCACTGTTTCTTTGTATTTTAAGACAGAGTCTCTCTGTCTTCAGGATAGTCCTGGCTGTCCTGAAAATCACAGAGATCTGCCTGACTCTGCCTCCTTAGTACTGGGACTAAAGGCATATATGCCATCACATCCAGCCTCAAATTCTGACTTTCATATGAACAGAATCATGGTATATGGTCTCTGTGGTTTCGCTTTTTTCAATTAGTTGTTGTATGTATATTGATGTTTTATTCATTTTATGGCTGAATAATTTTACTGTATGGTTATAATTTTTTTTGTCCAATTATCTGTTGGTAGACATTTTTTCTTACTTAATTTTTTCCCCTTTTCCTTTTTCTCGCTCTGGTCCCACGTGCTCTGGCTCAAAGGTTTTTATTTTTGCTTATTATATGTAAGTACATTGTAGCTGTCTTCAGTTACCTCATAAGTGGGCGTCAGATCTCATTACAGATGGTTGTGAGCCACCATGTGGTTGCTGGGATTTGAACTCAGGACCCCCGGAAGAGCAGTCAGTGCTCTTAACTGCTGAGCCATCTCATCAGCCCCATATTCTTACTTCTTGATGATAGTGATTAATACCATATACATAGTTATTAAGTATAATGTAGAAAATTATTGTCACTTTACTATTCCCTAAAAAGGACTTTTTTTGCTTTACATTATTTAACGTTATTTAAAATGTTTTTCAAAAAGATTTTTGAGACAGTGTTTTACTATGTAGACACAAACTTGACATGTAGTCCAGGCTGGCTGACCATTTATAATCTTTTTGCTTATGCTTTCTGAGTGCTGAGATTACAGGTGTCTGGCACCATCCTGATACATCTTTTCTTATCCTTAAAATTGCCTTTTCAGCTGGTGGTATGGCTCAGTGTCTTCTATGTGTAAGGTCCTAGATTCCCAATAGGGAATAGCTGAAATTTTTTTAAAATTTAGTTTTAAATTTTTATTCATGTGTACATGTGTATGCCATGTGTGTGCAGGTATCAGACAGTTATGGGTCATCCATGGATGTTGGGAACTGAACTCAGGTCCTCTGGAAGAACAGCAAAGAATTCTTAACCACTGAGTCATCTCTCCAGGGCCTCAAATATCCTCAATATTATTGAGTATTTTTATTTCTTGCACTTCTAAAGCCATAATTATGTCTCAATTTGTAACATCAGAAATACTTTTCCTAAGAGCTGATTTTAAAAGTTTCCAGCCAGGCAGTGGTGGCACATGCCTTTAATCCCAGCACTTGGGAGGCAGAGGTAGGCAGATTTCTGAGTTTGAGGCCAGCCTGGTCTACAGGGTGAGTTCCAGGACAGTCAGGGCTATACAGAGAAACCTTGTCTTGAAAAACAAAACAAAACAAAACAAAACAAAACAAAACAAAACAAAACAAAACAAAACAAAACACCACCAACAAGTTTCCTTATTAGGCCAGCAAAGATAACTCACTGGTTAAAGATTCTTGCCAAGCATGACATCTAGAGTTTGATTTCTAGCACTCACATAATGGAGAGGATTGAATACCATAATTCCTCCCCTAACTTCTACATGCATACCATAGCACATGTGTATCCACACACATACATGTATAAATAAAAGTTTTAAAAATTAAAGATATGCAAAATATTAGTATATCTTCAAACCATTTTATGGGTACATTATTACAAGGAAATGTTTTATAAATAGTTTTATTGACAGGCATAGTGGTGCACACTTTTAATCCTGGTACTAAGGAAACAGAGGCAGGTGGATCTTTATTAGGTTGAAAACAGTCTGGTCTACGTCATAATGGCCTTCAAGGCTACCTAGTGAGATTTTGTTTAAAAGAAAATGAGATTTATTCAATGATGTTTGTTTTGAGACAGGGTCTCACTATGGCAACCAGGATCCCTTTTAAATTGGGGCAATCTTCTGGCCTCATCTTTCTAAGAGGTGGGATTACAGGTATGCAAAACTACACTGGGCTTGAATACTGCATTCTCTTTATATCCTATTGAAAGATAGTCATCCTAGCTGGGCGGTGGTGGCGCATGCCTTTAATCCCAGCACTTGGGAGGCAGAGGCAGGTGGATTTCTGAGTTCGAGGCCAGCCTGGTCTACAGAGTGAGTTCCAGGACAGCCAGGGCTACACAGAGAAACCCTGTCTGAAAAAAACAAAAAAACAAAAAATAAATAAATAAAAAAAATAAAGAAAAAGATAGTCATCCTAAGTTGAAGCTAGCTAGAAAGAACATTTTGCTGTTGGAAGTAATAATTCTTGACATTTTAAATTTGTGTATCTCCTCCCTTCCTTACTCATTTTAGAAGAGTTTTACCCTGTAGCTTATGCTGGCCAGCAATTCAGCATGTAGTCCAAGTTGGCCTTAAACTCATAGCTATCTTCTACATCCACTTCTCAAGTTCTGGGATTAACAGGTGTGCACCACTATACCAAATTTATGTCTTTGTTTCTTGCTTTCATCAGCACACTATCTTGAATATTACCCTTTGCTAGTTGTAATTTCCCACTGAGAATGTGGGGAAGCAAAAGACACATAAACAAGGTAGTATTATCACTGCTATTCCACGAGACGTTTTACAGCTATTCTGGGAGATATTTTACAATCAGCTCCATGGGAGAAATCCTGAGGCATTTGTTAGTTTCCATGCTGTGAATATCCCTAATGTCCAATTTCAAGCTGCCATTATGATTTCATGAATAAGACCTTAGAAAGCTATGTTCTAGCATAGCACTGACAAAGTAAGCTCTTCATTCCCTAACTTTGCATATATTTTATAGAAATTTCTTTTTGACTCCTGAATCTTTAAGAGTAACTTAAAGGTCTAAAATAAAATATGAGCTAGGCATGGAGTAATCGGTTATAGACATGTACACTGAAGGCAGAAATGGAAGGAGCAAGAATTTAAGGCCATCCTCAGCTACATAGTGATGTCAACACCAGTTGGGACACCTGAGAGCTTGAAAAATCAAATATAAACTTCTATTTAGTAAAACTAGTTAAGGAAACAAAAATTTCTTTTTTTGTTTGTTTTTTTTGCTTATTTATTTTATGCAAGATATCTACAAAAGATAATCAATCAATGCCAAGATAATCAATTTCTAAAACAGAGCATTGGGATTTTCTGGTATTCTAGAAAATATCCTTAGGAGTCTAGATAATATTTCTTAGAACTTTATTCAGATCCTTCATTCTAGTGTATCTTGACTAAGATTTCCATTCTTTCCTTTGCACCTCCATGTAATCTATTAAGACTTCTATAATGACCTTATATCACTGTTTCCATCCAGTTACCACATGTTTAGTTAGGACCCAGAACAATGTGATTGTTAGATCTATGTATCTATGTATCTATCTAACTATCTAAATGTATGTGTTCTATCTATCTATCTGTCTGTTTCCCCAGTGCTTACCTGACACACAATAGCTATTTAAGAAATTCTTGAAAATATTGGGTTGGAGAGATGGATCAACTGTTAAAAGCTTTGGCTGCTCCTTCAGAGGATCCAGGTTTAATTCTCAGCACCTACATGGCAGCTCACAACTGACTGTAACTCCATTCCAGAGGATCTAACATCCTCACATAGACATATATCAAGGCAAAATACCAATGCACATAAAAAATCATTAAAAATAAATACTGGAAAATAAAGAACCATAGTGGTGAACGAATTTAAATTCTAGCACTTAGCACTCAGGATGCAGAGGTAGGCAGATCTCTATGAGATCCAGCCTGGCATACATAGTGATTTCCAGAACAGCCAGGGCTAATATAAAGGGGGAAGGGGGGGAAAAGAGGAGAGGGGAAGAGAGGGGAGGGGAGGGGAGGGGAGGGGAGAGGGAAAGACTGTCTCAAAACCAACTCACAACAAACAAAAAAAGAAATACATACATGAAGGGGTAGTTATAAAATTATTTACCATTTTACTCTGAAAGATTTTTCCACTTCTTGTTTTGCTTTCAGATACATCAAGTTCAGACGTTTTACTGACTAACTGTTCAACCTAAAAAGGCATTTCACAAAACTTTATTATATAGCATAGTAAAACTCATAATAAGTGGGGTCTAAAATATTAACCACATAATTTTTAGTTTGTTTTGGACATAGTGGCTTACACTTTTAATCTCAGCACTCAAGTGGCAGTTAAGAAGGATTGCCTTAAATCTGGGGTCAGTCTCATTTAGTGAGTTCAAGGCTAGCTAAGGTTACATAATAGGACCCTCTTTTGACCCCCTCAAACAAACAAACAAACAAAAAATATGTAGGACTTTATTTAGTTCTTAGAGTCTATGAACATTGCCCTTTTTTTTTTTTTTTAAATTTATTTATTGGGGAGAGAAGCACGCACACCATTGTGCATATGTTAGAGATTAGAGGACATTTTGAAGGAATTGGTGTTTTCCTTCCACCACGTGAGTCCTAGGAATCAGACTGAGGTCATCTGGTCTGGTAGCAAGACCTTAGACCTGCTGAGCTATCCCACTAACCCTCTACAAGCATCGTAAGATTTATTACTAAATAAGCTCACAGTGGTATACTAAAGAACTTTGAAATGTATAGTAATTTTAATCTATAAAAATTTATTTAAATACCTACTTTTATTCAATAACACCAACAAAATCTAAGCAATAATAAGTATATAAGCAACCATCTTTAAATAAAAGAGCAGGGGCTAGACAAATGGCTCATTGGTAAAGAGTACTGGTTACTCTTACAGAGGACCAAAGTTCCTTGCACTTACATGGTGGCTCACAACTGGCTGTAACTCTAGTCCTATGGGATCTGATGTTCTCTTCTAGCCTCTATGAGCAACACACACATGCACGCATGCACACATGTGCAAATTACTCAAACACAAAAAATAAACAAATCTAAAAATAATTTAAGGTCTGATGTGATGGTTCACATTTTTAATTCCAACACTTAAGAAGAGACAGAAACATGGCTACAAGTTTGAGGCCAGCTTCCACTACATAATGAATTCTAGGCTAAATACGGGTACATTGCAAGAACCTGTCTCAAACAAATAAGTAAAGTAAAACAAACAAAATGAAATCAAAAGCCAATTGGAATGACCAAGTTTATACCTGACAATGAGAAATTGAAGGACTTTGGCTCTTTTTGAATTGCATAATTTCTTCTTCCTTACAATCTAAATTTGGTTCTATAAAAAATAATAAAAAAGAAGATAAGAAAGTTAAATGGTATTAACTTGAATTAGTAGCTAATAAACATTTTTGTTAGCTTCTTACCTTTGATTTCAGAAGCTCCAGAGTTTTCATTCTGTTCGTTCATTTTAGTTTTAATGTCAAAACTATTCTATAAATATGAAAAATTGAACATATTTTAACAATAAATGAAAACAAGTAGTAATATTAATGAACACATTTGTTTTATGTAAATGGCAAATACAACTATCTTAAGCTTGCTAGAAATACAAATGGTGCTAGAATTACTACCACAAGGCTTTGTTGTTGTTGAGACAGAGTGTTTCTCTGTGTAACAGTTTTGGCTATTCTGAAACTTGCTTTGTAGACCAGGCTGGTCTCACATCTGCACACTTCTGCTCCTAGTGCTGGGATTAAAGGCATGTGCAACCATGCCCAGCCTACAAGGCAATTTATTTATGCAAACAAAATATAAACTCTTTACTTTTTAGGGTTGTTTTAAAGATAATAAAAAAGCATATTTTTGAAAACTATGTGCTTATTCTAAATCTTTAGATCTTATTGTTTGAGAGCATTGAATTAAGTAGGTTTACACAGCTACACATATAACAAAATATGTCAACTCTTCAGAAAGTCCCTGGAGGATGAACTTATGGTATAGTAGAAATAACTGGTTTAAGGTCTAAATTATTGCTCCCTTTGTGGTATGTATAAGAGAAACTCAAATATTTGTATATGCACCTATATAAATGCATGTATGTACATATGTAGGAATTAGAGTGTAGAGGCTGGAGTTTGATGTAGGTTGTTATCTTGTATCATTCTTTGTTTGTTTATGAGACAGGGCCTCACTGTTTCCCTGGCTGGTCTAGAACTCCCTACATAGTCCAGGCTGACCTTCATCTCACAGTTATCTGACTGCCCCTGCCTCCTGCGTGTTGGGATTTAAAGCTGTACACCACCACGACAGACTTACTTATGTATTTTTGAGACAGAGTCCATCATTGATTGATAGACTGAAGCTGAGTGTTTTGGTCAGCAAGTTCCTGGTGTCCTCCTATTTCTAGCCCTGACTCTTCCAGTGTAAAGATTACAGATTTACATAACCATATGCAGTTTTTACATGGGTTCTGAGAAACTGATCACACACATCTTCATGCTTATGCAACAAAAACCTTACCCATAGAACCATTTCTTTCAGCCTGAGACTGAAATATTTTAAAGAATACTACAAAAACCCTAGCTGGTATGGTGGTTCATACCTACTATCCCAACACTCAGGAGGTGAAGGCAGGAGAACTAGGAGCTCAACAGTAGCCTCAGCTACAAAGCAAGTTAACAGCTGGATTAAATCTTTTAAAAACAAGAGCCCATGAGATGAAGCAGCAGGTAGAGTGCTCAAGGAACAGGTCTAGCAATCAGAGTTTGATCCATGGTACAACCAGCCATTTGATCCAGTCTCAAAATAAAGTTCTTCCAACTTAATGATTTACTACAGTAATTTCTAGAAAAATTAAAATCTATCAAAGTCCTCAAAATCAACATTTGCTACTACTGTACTTTATAACTCTTCAAATTATGTTCACACTTACATGATTTTCATCTTCTACATCATCTTTGTCCATTAGAATTTTTTGAAATGGTATTTTTGATTGTTTTGGTGTTAGTATGGCTGAATCAATATTTTCCATTCGTTCCTTCTCAGTGGTCACTTTTAATCTGAAGGTGTGAAAAGGTGTTGGGACTTCTCCCACATTTAAGTATGTAGGGTCCCCATCAAATATTACTCCTTCACAATCACCATCCTTAAAACCTGGTGGTTGGTAACCTGGGGGTGTAACTGCAAAACAGGAAGTACAAACTGTACTATTTATAAAACTGAAGAAGCTGAACTACTCATAAAAACACAACAAGACTGAATTCAGATGGAAGAACCTAAGCTGAAATACAGAGATGCTCCTCCTGTCACAGGCCTCTTCCTTAATTTGAATTCCTTATATTGAAAATATAATGCATACAATAGGAATCTTTCATGTTTTAGGAAATACATATCCTAAATATCCTTTAAAAATGCAAGAAAGTCATGCTAGCCCTTCTTTTTTTAGTACTCTGTAAGTGTAAGGGGCTGGCAGTAACAAGAGCTCTGCTGTGGCCTCTCTGTAATTTTAACAGTTCATATTATATATTTTTTTAATATGGTTGCAACATAATTTACTTACAAATCTTCAAGGAAGATACTCTACTTGTTTATACTTTGTTCCTATGTTAGCTACAGCTATAATGAAAATTCTTATAAATATATAATCGAATATTTGTGTAAGCTATTCTAAGAATATTTTCTAGTTATATAATTTATAAATTACAATATTAAGTTTTGAGGTGAGAAAGACAGCTTCACAGAATGCTTGCCCAGTACACACTAGGCTTTAAGTTCAAGCCTTAGCACCACAGAACCAAAATCTTTGTTGTTTTTTTAACCAATTATGTGGCATTTATTCATTATATATACCTGAAGGAAACATTGACACTTATATTTTCTTTTTCCCATAACAAAATTATGAAGAGTTGATGTAAAATAGTTTTAACATTAAAACACAACTGGATTAGAAATGCATTTTAAATACTTAAATGTAAATATTTGTTTTCCAATGTTTATTTTTATTCATTTTGTGTGTGTGTGTCTATCTGTCTGTCTGTCTGTCTGTCTTTGTCCACATGAATACAGGTGCCTGGGAAGGCCAGAAGAGGATATTGGATCACCCTGGACATGGAGTTACAGGCATGTCTGTTCATCCAACACAATTGTTGCTGAGAACCAAACTCTAGTCCTCTACACAAACATCAAGTGCTCTTAACATGAGTCAGCTCACCAGACCCCAATGTTTCTTTTTCAAATACACATATTAAATGAAGTTTTCTAATTTCAAAGACTCTTTAACAATTTAGAGGTGCCAAAACATTAAAAATAGAAACAAATTTTTGGAATAAAATTAAAACAAGACATACTGCAACAAATAGTACCTTCATCATAGTAAAAAAGTTTCATGGTCAGACAAACATCATTAGGTAATGGTCCTAAATTTTGCATTAGGACATAAATCTTCCGAATGAGGAGAATACTTGCTTTCTTGGTGTCAGCAGATGTTGTACTGGATTGATTGTTTTGATTTTTGCTAGAAAATAAGAAATCAATTTCTTTCATAAGATTTGTGACTTCTAACATTATTTCACATTTTAACAATTTGAGATTATTCTTCCAAAAATAGTTACCAGTTTGAAAATTATCAGAAAATATTTTAATGTCACTATCATAAAAGTTCAGTATCATTACTATCATCATTACTATAAGCTAAATGTTTTACATAAGTAAAATAAATATTCATTTTATACAATGTTTAAAAAAATGATGGGTTTTAAATATATTTCTAACCATTCAAATACCTTTTTTGTAAATAGTATATAATTAGCACATAATCTTGTCTTGTGGCATTCTAAGTCTCTCTCCATTTTGAGATCATGTCTGGGGTTTCAAACCCTGAATGAAGAACATTCCTCCACTAGCTCAGTTGAGTGTAAAACATTGGAAATAAATCACTGGGAGAGGTGATAAAGGAAGGGAGCACCAAGCTAGGCTGCCAGATGAGCCAAATTAACACTGGGGATGAACAATGTTTGACAGATGTCACAGATACATCAACCTCATATTCCAATACTCCATTTTGTGAAGTCAAATTGCTAACTGGGAGTTTGAGAAATTTCAGAAATAACCTTGAAGTCTAGCTAAATAGCATTAATAATAAGAGGCAATTGGTAATATAAAACAAAAAGTATAAAACAATACCTTATAAAGTCCATGATTGGTCCATTTTTGGTGTACTTGAATTTAAACTGGTAACATTCTGAAATTGTCTTAAATAGAAAACATTGCAGTTATGTAACTGATGCATAGTTCTGACTGCCAAATGTACATATTGCTTTCAAACATTCAGTTAGTAGTTTTCTCCAATATGTTAATTTCCTATTGGTCCATTGGTGTTTCAAGTGCTCATAGTTAATGCTGATGGTCTGGAATTTGGTACTTCAATTGTGGAGAGAGAGTCCCTGATTCACTGAAATGACTGTAATAGACACTAAATGGGAGAAGTACGTCAGGCAAGTGGGGAAGGAACCACACCTCAGAAGAGTGGGTTAGGAAAGGCTGTGGTTTGAACTGCCTGAAATGTTTATGTATTGGAAACTTAAATCCCTAGTGCAACAGTTTTAGGAATGGTTTTTTCCTTTCCTGGTAGTGAAGAATTATGACTGTTTTCACTGAAGTCACAATTTTTTTTTTTAAGTCAACTCTTGATGACACTGATTTTTCACAGTATCTGGGATGCTTTTTTTAGCAGAAAAGCAGGAATTGTGATCTTAAAGAAGTAATTACGCCAGGCAGTGGTGGCGCACGCCTTTAATCCCAGCACTTGGGAGGCAGAGGCAGGTGGATTTCTGAGTTAAGAGTTCGAGGCCAGCCTGGTCTACAGAGTGAGTTCCAGGACAGCCAGGGCTACACAGAGAAACCCTGTCTCGAAAAACCTAAAAAAAAAAAAAAAGAATAAGTAATTACATTAAGATAGTGACTCTCGACTTTCCTAATGCTGCTACCCTTTAATACAGCTCCTCCTGTTGTGGTGATCAGAAACCATAAATTTATTTTAATTGTTACTTTATAACTGTATTTTTGCTACTGTTAGGGATTTTAATATAAGTATCTGTTTCTTCTTCCAACAGATATTTATATTAAAATTGGAACAGATATTCCAAATATTTGAATTTTCCAAAATATCTGTTTGACCCCAGTCAAAGGGTAGTTTGACACCCCTACTCCCCACCCCCTGCCAAAGGGGGTCAAGATTCACAGGTTGAGAATCACTGGGTTAAGGTGATCTTGCCCTCATGAGTTAATTCAGTTATCACACAAGTGGGTCAAATATGGTGTGAGTGTTTTCCTTATAAAAAATATTTTTGTGTATGTCTCTCTTCCACTGAATGTGTGTGTGCAATGAGAGAGAGGGAAGAGGAGGAGGAGGAGGGGGAAGGGGAGAGGGAGACGGAGAAGGTGGTGGAAGGCCATTACTAAATTTTGTTTACCCTTAGATGTTCAACTTCCAAACCTTTGCAGTTAGAAGAAATAAATTTGTAACCTTAGATCCTAGCCTCCAGAATCATAAAATAAAATAAACTTTTATTTGTATAAATTACCAGGTGTAATAGAAAAGAAAGTTAAGATAATTACTAAGAATAAGATTTTTTGTTATTATTTTCATCATTATTATTTTGTCATGAGTCTAGGTTTGCTTAAAACTCACTGTGTAGCCAGCTAAGTATTGACCTTGAACTCTAGTTCCTCTTGGCTCCACTTCCAAAGAGCAATGATAAGAGTCAAGTACCACCATATCCAGCAAGAACAGATTAAAAAAAAAAACTTTAAAGACAGGGTCTTACTATGTAGCCCTGACTAGCCTGGAAGTGATTAGTAGACCAGGCTAGCTTTGAACTCACAGAGATATGACTCCCTCTGCCTCCTGAGTGCTGGGATCAAAAGTATGAGGACTGTGCTGCCAAATCCAGGAGGTTTTAGTTTTAAATTCTGGCTATACTATAAGCACATGCAAGCCATTTAAGCTTTCTAGTTTACTAAGGGCTTTGTACAGGTTAGACAAGCTTTCTACCAACTGAGCCCTGATCAGTTCAAATATGCTTCCAGGACTAAGTCAAACATTACATTTTAATGGTCAAAATCCCCACACGGTGAGCTGGTTTTCTTAGTTTAAATTCTGGTTTTGTCTCATCTGCCATACAACCTTAGGTAAAAAACCCTGAATCCAGAAAAATGGCTTAGCTGGTAAAAGGCTTGGTATACAAGCATGAGTGACAGAATCCAAATTTCAAGAACCCATATAAAGACTGCTGAATATGGTTACATGCATTGGTAATCACACTCTGAGGGAACAGGACAGGAGGACTACTAGGGCTTTCTGGCTAACAGCCTAGCTTCCAGTTCACTGAAAGAACCTATCTCAAAAGAAGGAGAGTGATAAAGCAGGACACCCAATTTGTATACACTACCTTTGTATAATGTACCACAGATAAATAAACAAAAACAAAAAACCACACATTCCTAATCTGTAAAGGGTAATAATTCTAATTAGGTTATGATGAATAAATGAAGGTCAATACCAATAAAGCCCAAAGAATAAAGCCTGTTATAGAATAAGTACACAAATTCTTCCAAAGGCTAGGGAATATGGTTTGTGGTAGAGAGCTTGCCTATCATGTTCTAGGCCCTAGGTTCAACCCCTAGTAAAACAATAAAATAAAAATACAGAAACCCCCAAAATTCAGAGTGGTAGCCCACACCTGTAGCCCCAGGAGGTGGAAGCAGGAGTAGTTCTGTGAGTTTAAGGGCAGCCTAGGCTTCATACTGGGTTTCAAGGCTAAGTCTGTGCTAAGAAAGTAGTCTCTGTCTTTGATAAAGACGGGGAAGGTGGAAGTAGGTGTTGGTGGCACTCCAGAGGCAGAGGCAGAGAACAAGGAGAAGGCAGACAGATCTCTGTGAGTTTAAGGCCAGCCTGTTTTACAGGGCTAGTTCTAGGACAGCTAGGGCTATATGGGAAAATTCTGTCTTTAAAAAAAAAAAAAAGAGGAAGGTGCTGAGTTTGAGTTTGTAGCTCAATGGTAGAGGGTTTGCCTAGAATACAGGAAACCAGGCTCAGTAGTACCAATCTGTAAACACCAGGACAAAGGCAGCGGGTGTAAGGATCAGAAATTCAAGGTCATCTTCAGTTACATAGCAAGTTTGAGGCTATCCTAGCTTACATAGGTTGATCTTGTCTCATCATAAAAAGAATACTGTATGGAGTCAGATGTCAGGCAACATAGGTTATTTCTAATAGTTTATTAGACTTGCAGGCTAAAATCAGTCACAAAGATCTCTTATAGTAAGTATATTTATCTTTTAAAATATAACAACACTAAACAAGCCTCGCCTCAGAAGTTTTACAAGGTTCATATGTGAAAAAAATATGAAAGTGTAAAATATAAAACATGCCAGACAGTGGTGGCACACACCTTTGATCTCAGCAATGGGAGGTAGAGGTAGACAAATCTCTGTGAATTCAAGGCCAACCTGGTCTACAGAGCTAGTACCAGGACAGGCAGGATATGTGAGAAATCCTGTCTTGAAAAACAAAACAAAACAAAACAACTCCCACAAAAGTATAAACCATCAAATGAGTTTATGTTTAGATAATTAGAAGCATTACATTTTTAACATTTCTAACTCATGCACACTTACCTGAGGATCTTCTGGATTGGTGTATACCTATGAAAAAATGAATTACAATTACTTTGGACAAAATTGTACATTAAAGTATTAGGTTGATTCAATGAAACAAAACAAAAATCAAAATGATCTTTCCAATAAAGTTTACTTCTTTTTCCCCACAAGATACATCAGCTGATTGAATAAAAGTGAAAATTTAACAGTGTTAAAAAATACAAGGGCTGGAGAGATGGCTCAGTGGTTAAGAGCACTGACTGTTCTTCCAGAGGTTCTGAGTTCAATTCCCAGAAATCACATGGTGGCTCACAACCATCTGCAATGGGGTCTCATGCCCTCTTCTGGTGTGTCTAAAGAGAGCAATAATGAATAAATAAATCTTGAAAAAATAAAGAATTTTAAAAAGAAAAAAAATACAAGTACTTACAGCTAGAATGATCATCCTTAGCTGAAATACAACAGAAAACAAAAATCTTAATTGTATTCTATAAAATGCATTTTCATGATGGATAATAATTCTTTGTATTAGTTCAGAGGCTTAGGAGTATAACTCAGTAGTAGAGTATCCACTTATCACTAAAGAATCTTTATACTATCTTTTTTGGTTTTTTTTTGCTTTTTGTTTTTTTTGGAATGGGGTGAGGGGACGGTGCTTTTCAAATTCTCACTAAGTAGACTTGGCATCCTAGAACTTGCTATGTAGTCCAGCTTGGCCTTCAACTTAAAGAGATTCACTTGCTTTTACCTACTGTGTGCTGGAGTTAAAGGCCTATATCAGTATACCCAGCACTCAACATTTACTTCTAAAAACAAGTAACCATTGTGGAAAATACATTTTATGTCTATTCTCTTAATTTCTTTTCACTTGGCTTTCTGATGGCTGAAATTCATGTCAGTATTTTATTTCTCTGATTCAAATACAATAATTCAAATACAATACAAATACAATACAATAATAATGCCAGTTACAAGGCACACACTTTAATCCCAGCACTCAAGAGAAAGAGGCTTGAGGCCAGCCTGGTTTATACAGTGAGTTCCAGGCTGTCAGACCTATGAAGTGAGACCCTGGCTCAAAAAAGAAATAAATAGGGCTGGAGAGATGGCTCAGTGGTTAAGAGTATTGACTACTTTTCCAGAAGTCCTGAGTTCAACACCCAGCAACTACATGCTGGCTGACAACCATCTGTAATGGGATTTGACTCCCTCTTCTGGTGTGTCTGGACAGTGTAGTCATATACATAAAATAAATAAGTCTTTTTAAAAAACAAAAGAATAGCTGGGCAGTGGTGGCGCACGCCTTTAATCCCAGCACTTGGGATGCAGAGACAGGTGGATTTCTGAGTTCGAGGCCAGACTGGTCTACAGAGTGAGTTCCAGTGCTACACAGAGAAACCCTGTCTCGAGACTATTCTATATGAAGTTAGTGTAAATTCCTGTCTTACTACATGGTAACTCCTGTTTTATCTATAGGGAAGGGAAGAAAAGATGTGAACGACTTACATATTTCTTCTGTAAAGCATCATAGCATCCTAGCATCCTAAAAAAAAGCCAGACATATTCTTTTATATTTAATACATTTTCAGAAAATAGTTCTTTTCATAAATTTCTATATTTACCTTTAGAAAATAAAACTAATAACTAATTAAAGCATCTTTCTTATTAACTACCTTAAAACTAAACAAAATAAAACAAACAGGCTGGAGAGATGATTACTTACTGCTCTCATAGAGGCCTTGGGTTTTTGTCACAGCACCCACAAGACAGCTCACAACTGCTTATAACTACAGTCGTGGGGTCTTATACTTTCCTCTGCTCTTCTTGGGGATCTGCACACACAGGGTATACTTACATGCACTAAGGCAATACACTTAAACAATTTTATAAAACTTTAAAAAAGAAAAACCATCCAGGAAGTGGTGGTGTAAGGCTTTAATCCCCTGCACTCAGGAGGCAGAGGCAGGCAGATCTCTGTGAGTTCAAGGTCAACCTGGTCTACAGAGTGAGTTTCAGGACAGCCAGGGCTACACAGTGAAACCTTGTCTCAAATATATATAAAAACAATAACAATGAGGTAGAAATATGGAGATGGGAGGACAGAAGGAAAACTATAAAATATTTGACTGCTACTTGTAGAGTTATAATAATAATGAATCCTATTTACATGGAGCGTGAAATTAAAAAAATAATACATAAATCCAAAGACCTAAAAACGTGGTGCCCAGAGCTAAAGAGTTAATCACTAAAATCTGGTTATATACTAAAAAGTATTCAACATATAAAAGGTATGATTAGAAAAATAGTAATTTTCTGCCTTTAGGTATTCTTTTACTTACCACTTCACTAGCTGTGAAGAACCTGGACAGTTTTTATCTTCTTTCAGAATTTTGACACAGAGATCTTAATGAAAAATGAAATAACTATATAAGTACTTATAACTAATTGATTTAATTAATTAATGATATTTTTTCGCTTTGTGTTCTATGTGCATGTGTGTGGGTACATCACATGTGTGGCAGCCAGAGACTTTTGGGAGCTGGTCCTCCCGTTCTACCATGTGGGTTGTGGGGAGTTAACTCAGATCATCAGGTTTGATTGCAAGTGCCTATAACAGCTGAGCTATCTTGTCAGCTTCAATAGTAAATTTTATTTTAAATTTTATCTATGAATTATAGGTCTATTATTTTTGAGACAGAGACTCACTATGTAGACCAGGTTGGTCTTGAACTCATAATTCCCTTGCCTTACTTTTTTTTGTTTGTTTTTGGTTTTTTTTTTCGAGACAGGGTTTCTCTGTGTAGCCCTGGCTGTCTTGGAACTCCTTCTGTAGATCAGGCTGGCCTCGAACTCAGAAATCTGCCTGCCTCTGCCTCCCAAGTGCTGGGATTAAAGGCGTTCGCCACCACCGCCGGGCTCCCTTGCCTTAACTTATCTAGCATTGGGATCACACAAGTGTGCACCACCCGCCCAGCTCACTAAAGGCGCATTATTATTAGTGGCAGCTTCCAATCCTATTTACGTGGAGCATGAAATTAAAAAATTAATACATAAATCCAAAGACCTAAAAACATGGTGCCCAGGGCTAAGAAGGGTTAATCAATAAAATAAAAATTGGTACTCTTTACAAATGCCATCATAATGAGTAAGAATTTAAAGTGATGAGTAGGAATTTTCCTATTTCTGTGGCTTAGTTGGTAAGTGCTTGCCTAACATTCACAAAGTCCTAGGCTGAATCCTGAGCATCAAGTAAACTGGGTGTACTGGTACATGCCTATAATCTCAGCCTCAGAAGAGAGGCAACGGGAACCCAAGAGTTTGAGACCAGCCTCAGCTATATAACCAGTGCAAGGTCAGACTGGACTACTTAATACTTTGTCTGAAAAAAAGGGGGTGGGCAGAATAGTGCACAGCATTAAGAGTACCGTCTAATCTCCCAGAGGACCTAAGTTAGAATTCCAGCACTCAGGTGGCAGTTCACAGAAACTCTGGTTCCAGATCTCATGCCTTTTCTGGTCTCCAAGAGCACCAGGCACACACAAGGTATACATACATACATGGAGGTAAAACAACCAAATAAAATAAATAAAATAAAATTTAAGAAAATTTGGGCCGGGTGGTAGTGGCGCACGCCTTTAATCCCAGCACTTGGGAGGCAGAGGCAGGCAGATTTCTGAGTTCGAGAATTCGAGGCTAGCCTGGTCTACAGAGTGAGTTCCAGGACAGCCAGGGCTACACAGAGAAACCCTGTCTCGAAAAACCAAAAAAAAAAAAAAAATTTGAATATAATATTTTTCAATTCAATAATTTTCTGACAGTCTTAGAATCTTTGCTATGAATTCTTATTCTACTGAAATATTTTGTAACTAGATCAAAAGTTGACTCTCAGATAAGGACTCTGCAGAGGAACAACATGTAACACATTGAAAAGGACTGAGAGGCTGGAAAGATGGCTCAGCAGTTAAGAGCACTGACTGCTCTTCCATTGCTGAGTTCAATTCCCAGAAACCACATGGTGGCTTACAACCATCTGTAATGGGATCTGATGCCCTCTACTGGTGCTGTCTGAATACAGCTACAGTGTACTCATACATAAAATAAATAAATCTTTTTTTTTAAAAGGACTGAGAGCATCACTGTGTCTCAGATTCTTTAGTTCATAAAGAAGTAATAGCTATTTTAAAAGGCTTTATTATGTTTGCTAGTTTGATACAAGTTAGTTCTTCAAAAGAAGGCAACCTCAATTGAAAAAATGACTCCATAAGATCCCACTGAATCATTGAACTATATATACTTTGGTGACTTATCAGGTTATGTGAATTACATCAATAAAACTACTATCAAAAATCCAATTCTCTAAGCAAAAAAACAAAGAAGGTCCTAAATATTGTAAATTACCATCCAGATATCTTGTCCCATAAGCACGTTCTGGAAATATTCCTCTCAAATAGGTGATGCAGGATACTGAAACAGCTAGGAGTCTCTTCACAAACATTAAAGACTGATGCTCAGTTGATATCTTATTGGGAAATACCAATGCACTCTAAAATTCAAGGGAAATTAAAACACTTTATTGACATTGAAAACAAAGCTTCCATGAGCTTAAAAGCAGAGTCTAGTTTTGCATAAGCACAGTACTTTCCTAAATAATTCTCCAAAATTATCATCCTCAGAAAGTCACTGCAAATTATAAGATGCCAGGGTGTGTTCAGGGTTAACAGGCAAAGAGTAAAGCAAAATGTGTTTAATAGTCTTAAGAATCCTTGAGATTTCAGGGCATGGTGGTGCAGGCCTTTATTCTCAGCACTTAGGAGGCAGAGTCAGTTGGATCTATGTGAGTTTGAGGCCAGCCTGGTCTACAGAACAAGTACCAGGACAGCCAGGGCTACTTGGAGAAAGCCTGTCTCAAAAAACAAATATACAGAAAACCAAGAGAAAGAAACGCACTTGGGGTCTAGTCAGCAGTCAAGAGCATTGCCTGTTCTTGAGGACTCAGGTTTCATTCCTGGCACCTATACAGTGGCTAACAGAATTTTACTTTAGTTTCAGGGGATCTGACAGCACTATTCCCATAGTACACAGACATACATGCAAGCAAACCACCAGTACAAAATAAATAGGAAAAAAAGTAGCACTTTGAGCCATTGGTGGCAGCAAATGCTTGTAATCTCAACACTCAGAAAGCAGAGGCAGGTGGATCTTTGTGAGCTAGGCTAGAGTTCCAGGCCAGCCATGGCTTCAGAGTGAGATGCTATCTAAAATAATAATAATAATAATAATAACAACAATAATAATAAAGAGGAAAAACACAGTCTCTTAGATAGGATTTCCTCTCCTTAGTGGCACATTTCTAAGTATTCACTCTCTTCATGAACAGCAGCTAAACACCATTATTAGGAAAAGAACCCCCTAAAACAAAACACAAGTACAGAGTACATACACAGATGGCTGAGTGAAAGCAAGCAGGACTCAACCTTACTTGCACATTACAACTATCACATTTGGCTGGTGAGAGCTGCAACAAAGGAGATGTCACTGAATGAACAACTTATGGTAATATACTAAATGTCCAAAAGAATTCTATGTTACTTCTTTCCTTAAAGAATGTCCTAATTAAAGTATCAAAATACTTTACTCTTTTAAATAATAAAATATTTACAACTTCAAGAAACAAGAAATTCAGCTAAATTAATACATATTAAGTCATAAGAAATCATACCATGGTAGCTGTCCTCCGCAACTGCATAGTGGCCATCTTCAAAGAAATATTTCCTTCAAACATGTAACACAAATATAAATTTTGATTTCAGATTTAATTTTTATCTCTAAAATTCTACCTTATTACATATGGTATTATTATCTTAATAAATTTCAGAATTTTACTTAACATGCAATCTTTAAAAAGTCAATGTAGCCGGACAGTGGTGTTACATGCCTTTAATCCCTGTACTTGGGAGGCAGAAGCAGGTGGATCTCTGAGTTCAAAGCCAGCCTGGTCTACAGAGGGAGTGCTAGGAGAGCAAGAGCTACACAGAGAAAGTCTGTCTCAAAAAACAAAACAAAACAAAAAAGTGTCAATGTATTGCTCCAGGATGTAGTACATGCCTGTAATCCTAACATTTGGGAGGCTGAGGCAGGAGGATCAGTATTTCAAGTTTATCCTTGGCTGCTTAGCAAGTTGTAGTCCAGGCAAAACTGCCTGAGACCCTTTTTGTTTGTTTGGTTGTGTTTTTTTTGGGGGGGGGGAGGGGGATGCCTGATAATTAAAAAAAAAATCAAAAATAGTCGACTCAGTTGACTCCATTAGGCTCAGTATGCACTGCTGCTCTGAAACTATAAAATGGCAAAGCCAGGAGGTCACACACGGTTGAGCTGGTAAAGGAGCGTGCCTCCAGGCAGATGATCTTAGTCGGTAGGACCAACATGGTAGAAAGAGAAAACAGATTCCCACAAATTGTCCTCTGACTTCTATACATGCCATAGCATGTTCATATACACTCCCCTTCCTGATATGTAACGAAAACATTTTTGAGGTCAGCAGAAAATATTTCAAAAAAATGTTTTTCTCTCACGTAACCAACTCATTTTCAACTGGTTTTCTTCCTTTCCAGGCAGGCCTCTCTATGTAGCTCTGGCTGTCCTGGAACTCTCTCTGTAGATCAGGCTGGCCTCAAATTCAGAGACCCACTTGCGTCTGTTCCTGCCTTGCTTGTACTTGGACTAAAGGAGAGAGCCACCACACCGGGCTTGACCTTGAACTCCTGATCCTCTGCCTCTACCTCCCCAGTGTCACCACGCACCATTTATTCTCAAATTTTACTTTTATTTATATTTTGAAAGAAGGTCCTCACTATGTAGCTCTGGCTAGCCTGTGACTTATGCTGTGTAGAGCACAGTGGCCTAAAATCCGCCCACCCTTTAATTCTTTCAATGACTGAGTCTGAACTCCCAACATCTCGGTAAACCGATTTAAATTTCCTCGCACCCTGGTCCTCGTTTCGTCTGTTAACACAAGAATTCAAGTAGAAATCCGCACAAAATACGAGAACAAACGCGGCTGGAAACCGTCAGCCTCATGGCGTCGGCCGGCTGCCCGCGTCGCCCCCTCAGGACCCTCTGGGACACAAGCACACAAAAATCTCTCAAATGTCTGCCGTTCAGACCTTAGGGAACCTGAGAGGGCGAAGGGCCACAGAAAAGAGACTAAGGAGTGAAAAAAAAACTAAGAGAACTAAGCCGAAAATAAACATACTTTACGCACCGCCTGAGAGAAGCGTCCGGCAGCAACAGGGAAGAGTCTCGAAGTGCCGCTCTCCTGTCAGCGTGTGCCCAGTGCGCATGCGCCTTAACTGTCACTGGCACGTGGTGACCCTTTGACCTCAGGCGAAAACACTATTCCCGCCAAAAGCTGCGCAAGGCCTGCTGGGAGCTAGGCCTGTGGTTCGGTCGTTGAATGGACAAAGCCTGACCGACACAGTTGGCTCCCCAGAGACCCGCGGTGTCCCCTCACACCCTTTTAGCTGTTTTCTGCCTTTAGATTTTGTTACTTTTGGATTATTGTTAGATTTTCTGTACAGTCTCCCATCTAGTTAACGATGCCTTTGAGGAAATCAGTTGCTCTACCAGTCGGCTTAGATTTTTATTTCTGGCTGGGCAGTGGTGGCGCACACCTTTAATCCCAGCATTTGGAAGGCAGAGGCAGGCAGATTTCTGAATTCGAGGCCAGCCTGGTTTACAGAGGGAGTTCCAGGACAGCCAGGGCTATACAGAGAAACCCTGTCTCCAAAAAGCAAAAGCAAAAACAAAAAACAACAAAAAAATTAGTTTTTAATTTTTAGTGTGTGTATGTGTGCCTGTGTGCGTACGTGAGTGTGTGTGTGCCTTATGACACTCATTGGGAGCTCAGAGGACAATACTTGGGCATGCTCACACCACAGCTCACAGTGGTGGTCAAAGGGTAACCTGAAGTTGATTCTCTCCTTCTACCATGTGGGGGCGTCTCAGGACTCTAACGGAACTATTGGGTTTGGTAGCAGTTACTTTTACCTGCTGAGCATTCTCACCTGCCTCATATTTTATTTTTGAGATTTATTCTATATAGCCAAGGTTGATCTTCAATGGTCATCCTCCCAACTTCCAGCTCCCCTCCTCCAGACTCTCTCTCTCTCTCTCTCTCTCTCTCT